GGTGTATTTCCGAACAGTGTATGGTGTTTTTACTCACTCCTAATGGTGTGTGTTTGTTGATGCAGGGCTCTGTTTACTCTGTTTTGTGTGGTGTATTTTCCTAACGTTGATGGTGCATATTTGTTGAACTATTGGTGTTGCCGCACCGTAAGAAATAACCGCACCATAAGACACTGCCGCACCTGAACCCGCATATATATATATATATATATATATATATATATATATATGTATATATATATATATATATATATATATATATATATATATATATATATAGGGACGCACTCAGGTGCGAATAAGTGCCCATGAAGGAAATGCGAACGAATCAGCGCGCGACACGTGACTAGATCTAATAACTTTAAAAAAAAATGCGGTGGCATTTTCGTAAATAATTGAACATCGAAGTGCAAGTAAAATCTCTTATAAGTGCACCTATTTTCACCTATAAGTGCATGTAATTTTGCCTTGTTAGCATTCACTTTCCGCAACCATTCATGCACCTGGGTGTGCTTATAACTATATGTGCAACTATTTATAACTATAGGTGCAACTACTTATAACTATAGGTGCAACTACTTTCACCTATAAGTGCATGTAATTTTGCCTTGTTAACATTCATTGATCTGAGTTCAGCGGGTAGTAATACTCCTGAAAATCACTCGCAAACATTCATACACCTAAATGCAACTACTTATACTTATGTGTGCAACTACTTAGAACTATAGGTGCAACTACTTAGAACTATAAGTGCAACTAAGTATTGATGCTCAGTGTAAATTTTTACTTGCACCTATATATAATACATTTTACATGCACTTGTAATACATTTTACTTGCACTTCGATGTTCAATTATTTACGAAAATGCCACCGCATTTTTTAAAAAAATCAGTGTTTCTCATCCATTAGATCTGGACATGTGGACGAACAGAATCCATTCCTATTTCGCGCCTGGGCAAGCCGTTCGCACCCGAGTGCAAGTCTATATATATATAATGCATATATATAGTAGTACGTAATATATATATATATATATATATATATATATATATATATATATATATATATATAGTACGTAATATGTATTATGTATTATGTATTATATATTATATATTATATATATTAAATATTATATATAAAAAGAATTAATTATAAGACAATATTAAATAACTAATGCAAAATTATTATAAAGATATGCCTAAAATATAGGTGTAAAATATGTCTATCATTGGTACATGCATGACTAGTTGATGAGGTTCCCAAATGCTCTGTACGGCCGGGGTGTGGAGGGCCCTTAGGGTTGGAGTTCAGCCTTTTGGAATAATAATGACTAGTTGATGAGGTAGGATTTAGAGGCGGAAGCATTATTTGGAAATATTCTTCTCCCAATATTTGGATATATTCTTGCATATATATTGATTGTATATAATTAGGGTCCAATGATAATGTGAAATTTTGCAAATTTTAAAATTAATTGAGTCATCATATGTAATAAGATATATATACACACACAATTAATATCAAATGAAATATACCTTTCCCGTACAAACTACCTATATGAATTTACGGATAAACGGTTGTGCATTTGAAAATAAGCATTTTATTGTGGTGACATGCCTCCAAGTAAAACATATGCAATTGGAAAAAAATATCAAATTTCAATTCGTCCATTGCAATTTAATTTTAAAACATTTCAATGTACCATTCCAACTTACATGATTAAAGAAAGAACAAAAAGTATATAACAGGTAAAGCAATGTAATTAGATTTTCCACCCAAAACATCTTGGAAAAAAATATTAAATTTCTTCCATTGCAATTTAATTTTAAAACATTTCAATGTACCTTTCCAATCAACTTACATGATTAAAGAAAGGGCAAAAAAGTATATACCATGTAAAGCAATGTGATTAGATTTTACTTGAAGAAATTGAATATATATATATATATATATATATATATATATATATATATATATATATATCAATTGAGATATACAATATTAGAACAGAAATTTTAACCTAGAATTATATTACGAATATGAAAGTAGAAAACAATATATTATTATATTTTATTAGAAAGATTAGAATAGGAATTGTATTGCACTATTTTATGGTATATATATATATATATATATATATATATATATATATATATATATATATAATTCCTATTCTAATCTATACTATATTATTATATATATTATTCAATTATAATAATAATAATAATAATAATAATAATAATAATAATAATAATAATAATAATAAGAACAACAACAACAACAACAACAACAACAATAATAATAATAATAATAACAATAATAATAATAATAATAATAATAATAATAATCCAAACAACACTACATGCAAAATAAAATTAAAATTACAAAAAAATAAGGAGAAGAAGAAGATGACAAAGGGCTCCCCTTTGTAAATGACGTGGGATCATTTTTATTCCACATAAAAAATGTTAGGAAAGAGGAGGTCTTGAGATCCTATATATAAGGAAACAGTGCTAGTTCTTCTTATAAACATAATTGCTTGCCCATTAATGTGGACAAGTATTAAGAAGCCAAAAAACTCTTATTTAAGAAGTCTTTGCTTAATGACTTTTTATTTTAGTTTTTTTTTTTTAATTTACTAGTATTTTCACCCGTGCGATGCACGGAATAGATTTGTTGTAATGATTTCATTTCTAATTTACAACAGTATATATAGATAATTAACTTATACTAAATCTCATTTCAATAAGTGATTAGAATTGAGAAGTTAATTCTTTTATTATTATTTTTTTTAACAAACAACTAGTATTTTCACCGGTGCGTTGCACGAAATTGATTTTGTTATAATATTTTAAGAATATATTTGGATCGATATCATGTATAAATTATAATAACGAATATTATATATTGCAATTGATTAAATGGGTTCGATTGATTATGTTTTCTGATATTATCTTTACTTGAATTCCAGCAAATAATTGTCCAGTTACCCTTGCGATGCAATGATAAATTTTTTTTATTATATATTTAGATAATAAAATTAAAGAAATCATTATCAATTCTAATATTTGAAAGTGTACATTTATTTGCAATTATATTTAAAAAATCGATATGTAATATCATTTATGTAGTTATACTATTAATAAAATAAATATGGAAAAAAAGGAGAAATAATTTAATTATAATTATTATAAAAAATAAATTCAACGACCATGTTTAGCTTAATTACCATAATAATTATTAGCCAATTATACCAGTATCTAGACAATTATACTTTTATACCTTAAGTATATTCATTTTCACTATACTGTCTTTACTTTTTTCCTCCTTCTCCATATCTTAATGAATTAATTGTAATTATTATAAAAAAAAATATAACGACCCATGTTTAATTATAACTATACTAATATCCATGTAATTATTAGCTTAATTAACATAATAATTATTAGTAATTATACTAATATCGGTCCAATTAATTCCTTAACTATCATAATAATTATAGGTAATTATACTAATATTGTGCAGTTATACTTTTATACCTTTAGTATAATATATATATATATATATATATATATATATATATATATATATATATATATATATATATATATATATATATATATACGGATTACCATAAAATTACCAAAGTAATTACATGGAAGAATATGAATGATAATTTATTGTGTTCTCATAGTATTATACTTTAAGTATATAAAAATATGAGTTTGTTAGGAACCTTGTATTAGGATTTTAATGATACCAATGTAAAGTAGAAATTAGACCCCTAACTATTTACTTTTTCGATTGCTACTTTCGTCCTAGACGAGAGTTGCCATAACTCTCATGTAATTCGTGTTAAGCTAGACAAACACACGAAAATGAGTTATGTCTAGATGATAGGGTCTCCAAGACGAAAGAAGACACAAGGCATGATGAACAGCAACGAGAATTAATCAGGAGCTGTCAACTATCTCGAAAGGACAGATTTATTAAAGACAATTCTCACCAAGCATTCTTTCTCTTCAACAACGAGAAGAATGTTCTGTATGTCTGATTTGACAACATCCTAGGAACATAAGGGCCTCAACTTGTGGGACACGTTTACCAAGGAGCATTAAATGAAGATGTACCATCTCCTGAAGCTAAAGGACAAAACCCTAATGCAATCCATACCTTCAATGGCTACATGGTACAACCTCATTAATGAAGCATTTAATGCATGAAGCTCCCCGGTCCTTATCCACTGGATAAAAGGTTCGAAATTTCATCTCCCTCCAATGGATGAATTTTCATCACCTATATAAACCCACCTTCATCAACTAAGAAGGTGCTGGTTCCTTTCACTCGATCTATATACTTGCAAAAGCTCTTAAACACTCTCAGTTCTCTCAAGCTTTTGTGAACCAGTGTTAAGGTGCTAAGATATTTGAAGAAGTTCATTGATTATCATCTTACACCTTAAGGAAGTCTTGCCATTTGTACGAAGAAATCATCTCACACAATCAAGACTTCATCAAGTTGGAGAAATCAGAAATCATTTTCTACCAACCTCAACTCTGAAGAAGAAGTTGATAGAGGCGGAGTAAACTCGAGGAGTTGAAAAACTTACGAAGGCTGTCCAGCTTAGTGATCAAGGAAGTCTTTGTGTAATTGTACTAACGAGTGATAGTGCAATCCTTCCATAAGTTGTGGAAGAAGAGTGGAGTAGGCAACGTTAGCCGAACCACTATAAAATCTCTTGTCTCGTTATCTCTTTACTTTCGCATTTCATTTATGCCAAAACACCGAAAGGTGATTTTTGGGGTAAAACACGAAAAGAGTCTATTCACCCCCCCCCCCCCCCCCCCTCTAGACTCTCACTACACTCTATCGGGACCAACAAGTGGTATCAGAGCCAAATACCTTGAACGGTAAAGGCTTTGCTTTTACTGCCTGGTAGATCCCCTATCAAAATTTTGAAAATTTGCATATTTTTCGGCTCTGCACGAATTTTTGCAAAATGGAAAAGGATCATGCTAATCGCTCTAAGCAACTTGTTTTTAGTCTTGCTAAATTTGATGACTGGAAGATAAGAATGCAGGCACTCCTCTGCTCCATACATGACGAAATGTGGGACGTCATAACAACTGGACCAATTACGGTTATAATGACGAATACACAAGCAGCAGCTCAAGGAGCCGGTGCTGAACAAATGATACCAAAGCCAAAAGATTCATACACCTCGGAAGAAAGGACAAGAGCAAACATGGATAACGTAGCACGGAATATCCTCTACAACTCCCTTGATGACTCCTTGTTCCCAAGAGTCCGAAAGTGCAAGAATGCCATGGAAATATGGAATGTTCTAATGGAACTAGGAGAAGGGGATGAGCAGGAGAAAGACAACAAGCTGACTGTAGCTATGAAGAAGTTTGAAGATTTCAAAATGCTCCCAAATGAGACAATCATGGACATGGAGCTAAGATTCACCAGACTCATGGGAGATCTGACAGATCTCGGGAAGGAACTGACAGAGAAAGAAAGGAATCTGAAGATTCTTCGTAGCCTGCCAAAATCTTGGGAGATGAAGGTCATTGCACTGAGGGACAATCGAGACATGAAAACAACGAGCACGACCAAGATCTTTAGTGATCTCAAAGCATATGAGTTTGAACATGAACCGAAAGATACCGAAGAATCAGAAGCAAGAAATATCGCTCTCGTGGCCAACCAGTCAGCATCAACATCCAACAGGTCGAAATCTAACTCTTGTGCTTTTTTAACTGATGAACAATATGCACTATTTGTCAGGAAAATGAAAAGGTACATGAGGAAGAACAACTTTCAAGATTCTCATCGTTCGGGCCACCGAAAGCAACACGAAAGTTCTCTTCAAACCTCAAAGGCAGAAACCTCGGACTCGCAACTGCTGTGCTACAATTGTCGAAAACCAGGGCACTTCAAGGCCAATTGTCCTCATCCAATAGTGAGGAAGCATCAAGATAGTAACACCACCAAAAGCCCATCCAAGGAGACTGGACAAAGATACAAAAGAAATGACAAGCCAGAATCATCAGGCTCCAGAAACGAGAGAAGAAGGAAGGCAATGGTAGTGAACGAAACCTCTGACACAGTTGTGAACGAAAGTAGCTCCTCAAGCTCGAGTTCAGACGACGAAAGTTCTGAAGAAGAAAAAGGACTCCTATGCCTTCTCAGTCAGGAATCAGAAGATCTATGCCTTATGGCTGACGAAGATGAGGTAAACTCTCATTCATCTTCTTGTTATTCAGCTGAGTCAAGCTCTGTAGGAAGTCAAATCTCCAATGAATCAGTTACCGAAATGATGAGGAGATTCAAAGTGATAAATAGCACATACTCCAAACTTAAGGAGGAGAACTCTCGGCTCATGATTAGCTACAATGCGCTAAGGCAAGTTCGAATTGAGAACATTATGCTAGCCATTGCTAAGGAGCAACTTGAGAAAAATGTTCTCGCTCTGAAGGAGCATGCACATCAAGAGAAAGGAGAGAGCAAGAATTGCTTGAAGTCTTGGACAAATTCAATAATTCATCCAATCTAATGGATCGAATGATGAATGACTCCAGACTGCCCGGAGAAAGAACTGGAATTGGTTTTGACCCCAGCTCCTCCTCACAAACCTGCTTGAACAAATCCACAAATGCATATTCACACGAAGGCTTTCAAGCTGCATTTGTTCAAGGACCAACCCAGGTGTCTGAGCCAATGACGAAAGTTAACAATGATGCCATACCACAATCAACAAGCTTACCGAAAGGAAAGGCTGTACAACGAATTGTGGATCCTCGAAATGAAAAATCTTACAAAGGCAATCCTAGACAAAAATATGTCAAAAGGAATGGACCAAATGGAAATAGACAGAATCTACACCATAAGAAAGGTCAGCCTGCTAAGAATATTCAATCAAGGAAAAGGCCTAATGTTGACCAGAGGCAATATCGTCCTAAAACAACACGAGATAGTCCTGATCAAGGAAACCCAAAAAATGGACGAATCAGACAACCCGAAAGATCCTTCATAAGATCTGGGTATGGCAATGGATGGACTGAGCCATCAGAAGAAGATTGGTATGATTACCCAGAACCTCTGACTAAAGTAGAACTACAAAGGATTCATCTGCGTAAACAAACCAATCATCTCAAGCATTATGAAAATCCTCCTCAGGAATATCTTCGCAAAAGATATAATGCTAAAGTCTTTGCCAGCATACATTATGATTATCGCACATTTAATGGGTATAGAGGACCAAGGATGAGTCGTGGACACTCTAGGTTGATGTGGGTTCCAAAGTTGACAGCTAACCCTCAAGGACCCGAAATTCAAGGGGTACCTAAAAACATATAATCTTTGCTGTAGGAAAAACAAGTCATATGGTATGTTGACAGTGGATGCTCAAGACATATGACTGGTGATAAAACAATGCTGAGCAACTTCGTAGAAGTAGATGGACCTAAAGTTATCTTTGGAGGAGAAAACAGTGGCAAAACTCGTGGAAAGGGGGACATCATCAAAAAGGGAATAACTATACAAGATGTGTCTTATGTTGAAGGACTAGAGTTCAACCTTCTAAGCACGAGTCAATTCTGTGACAAAGGATATAAAGTTGAATTTTCCAAGGACGGGTGTAAAATCGTGAACACGAAGAATGGCGAAACAGCTTTAACTGGCCAACGAAAGAAGAACGTGTACGTAATATCGTTAATTTCTTCTAACGCTAACATTTGTTTTGTGGCCAAAAGCAGTGAGATCTTAATCAAGAATGGCACAATAAACTTAGCCATCTGAACCTAAAGACAATCAGCAAGCTCGCCAAAAGAAATCTTGTAAGAGGTCTGCCCGAAGAAACATACATGAAAGGTAAAATATGTGAGGCAACAAAACACCATATGAACTATGGAAAGGTAAAATACCTAGTATTGGTTATTTTCATGTCTTTGGTTGCAGGTGTTTCATACACAACAACGGAAAGAGTCATTTAAGGACCTTTGACGAAAGAGCTGATGAAGGACTGTTCATGGGATATTCCTCAGTAAGCAAAGCTTTCAGAGTTCTAAATAAGCGAACGATGGTAATTGAGGAATCCATTCATGTTAAATTTGATGAACAATCTGAGAAAAATCCATCCGACATCAAAACGTCAAATAATTCAAGTCAAAACCCTCAGCTACGTGTCGATGAAGAAATTTCAGACGAAGAAGATATACTATCGTCCTACACTAAATATCAGCTAAAGGTTTTTGAACCCGAACCTACAACTCAAGAAAAGGTCACAACTCAACAAAACAATCCTGTCAGTACCACAACATCTGAACCAATGATCTATATTGATCTACCATACATTCCTGAAATGGATGTTCAAAATCAACAAAACGCATTTGAACCAGATCTTAGATGGTTAAGAGATCACCCACCAGAACAAGTGATTGGAAATATACAAGAAGGTGTGAGAACAAGAGCCTCTTTGCATGAAATCATGATGGCATGTTTCCTATCTCAAATGGAACCTAAATCCATAGAAGAAGCCTTAAATGATCCCGACTGGGTAATAGCAATGCAGGAAGAACTCCATCAGTTTGAACGAAATGAAGTATGGGAACTTGTGTCGAGACCAACCCATCAGAATGTCATAGGAACAAAATGGGTCTTCAGGAACAAAATGAGTGAAGATGGGCTCATTGTTAAGAACAAAGCTCGTCTCGTAGCTAAGGGGTATTGTCAAGAAGAAGGAATTGATTTTGATGAAACCTTCGCCCCCGTAGCCAGACTGGAGGCCATACGAATATTTTTGGCCTTTGCAGCTCATAAAAACTTCAGAGTCTATCAAATGGATGTCTAGAGTGCTTTCTTAAATGGACTTCTAGAAGAGGAAGTATATGTTGAGCAACCACCTGGCTTTGCAATTGATAATGAGCATGAAAAGGTCTATCATCTCAAAAAGGCTCTTTATGGATTAAAACAAGCTCCACGGGCTTGGTATGATACACTCTCACACTTTCTCATAAATTGTGGTTTTATGAAAGGAGCCGTGGACAAAACACTCTTTCGTATCAAAGACAATGATCACATTCTTCTTGTACAAATCTACGTTGATGACATTATTTTCGGGAGCACGAACCCTGAGCTATGTAAAAAGTTCTCAACACTCATGCAAGGCAAGTTTGAAATGAGCATGATGGGAGAACTCAACTACTTTCTGGGATTGCAAGTAAAGCAATGCTCAGATGGAATCTTTATAAGTCAAGCCAAATACACTAAGGATCTAATTCGAAAATTTGGCATTGATGGGAAAACATCTGTTAAAATTCCTATGAGCACATCTCTTAGAATGGATATTGACAACGAAGGAAAAGATGTGGATCAGAAAAACTTTCGTGGCATTATCAGTTCTCTTCTATACCTAACAGCAAGCAGGCCTGACATTTCGTTTGCTGTTGGTGTATGTGCACGATTTCAAGCGAAACCAAAAGAAAGCCACTTAAGTGCCACTAAAAAGATCTTAAGATACCTTAAGGGGACACAAAGTGTTGGACTTTGGTACCCAAAAGGAGGATCTTTCGATCTTGTTGGCTATTCAGATGCCGACTTTGCAGGATGCCGAATCGATAGAAAAAGCACCTCAGGAACCTGCCAGTTCCTAGGGGGAAGACTCGTGTCATGGTTCAGCAAGAAATAACATTCTATTGCCACTAGTATGGCTGAAGCCGAATACATGGCGGCTGGGAGCTGCTGTGCTCAAATTTTATGGATGACACATCAATTGAAAGATTATGGTATTAATGCACGAGAAGTAAGCATCAAATGCGATAACACGAGTGCAATTGCCATTACACATAATCCCGTTTTACATTCACGAACTAAGCATATTGATATCAAATATCATTTTATTCGTGATCATGTCGAGAGGAAAGATATATCTCTTGAGTATGTTAACACTGATGATCAACTTGCAGACATACTCACGAAACCCTTAAGTGAAGCAAGATTCTCCTCTTTAAGGAATGAAATTGGAATGATTGAAATGACATAAAGAATGAGAATCAAATCTGCAAAGATTCTCCTTTTTCGATTTTCAAAAGATTTGATCCATCTTCACACGCAAAGATCTCTATAAAATGAGGTACATGACAAAATTAAGCCTTCACAACTAACAAATTTTTTAGTGTTTGTCTTTGTGTGCAGACATGAGTACAGGAAGCGAGAGAACAATCACTGAGGTACAAGAGGAGAAAAGCGAAATCTTCAATGATCCACTTGTGACCAAGAAGGAGTTAAACAAATTTCTTGAACATTCTCAATACATACAGAGCATTCTCCGTGACTCAATGGAAAATGAGTCAAGGGAATCATTCCACTCTGTTGGCAACCGTATAGCGTATGTCAAGGAAGACGGTGTGCTAGAACGAAGTGATAGCTTTGACTACTCACCCTCGAGCACCCCTCCTAAGATGTCATCTCCTCTCAAATCCACCACAAGCAGCAAGAAAAAGAAGGCCTAAATGAAACTATTGGGCCACAGTGATAAGTTGTGATGTTGTTATCTTCAAAATGATGTGTTTCTCTAATAAATAACGTTATCTTTCTACTTATCTCTGATAGCGTGACTAACACGAAACGTGAATCAGTGTCTAAAATATTTTAACATGTTCTACACGCTAACGTTGCCTATAAATTGATCTCTCCACGGTAAGTCTCTAGCAAAAGAAAAGCTTGCAGGTAAGGATAAGAGTAAAGAGAAAATGGATGAAGCTGAGACTCGAGCTATCCATCATCTTCAAGAAGCAGGGAAACTGACTAATGCTCCAATAACAAGGATAGTAGAAGTTGGTGATAAGGTCCACGTAACGTTCACTATGCCTAACTCGGCCACTCCAAACGATGAAGCCGAAAGAAGGGCTATTCGTCTAAACCATCTTCTCCAGGAAGCAAGTTTGCCCAATGCTACCATTATCAAGCTGGAGGAAGACGGTGAAAGGGTCAATGTGACATACTCCATGCCCAACACAGCAAATCTTAAGGAAAAAGAGACACTGGACAACATTGTCAATGAATCTCAGGCGAAGAAGGCATATTGCTTGGATCAAGCCAAACGGCTTGCCAATGAAAGGATAATGATGATGAAGAGCGTTAACAAGTGCTCAACAAATCCACCTAACTTTCGTTGGTACCCTATCCCTGAAGTTCCACAACAAAGTGATCAATCCTACGAGGACTTCACCTTGGTTCACTCTCAGTCACCTATCAACCCGAACATGCCTACCCTCACACTTGAGGAACTAGACGAATATTCAAACAGGGCCAATCTGAATGATGTGACTGATGAGTTAACTCGCCTGGAACTTCACGTGCCCTATCGCTTTATCTGAATAATATTTGTCTTATCTGTACGGTTTGGAGTACCTCTGCACGATTCTCTTCAATGAAAACTTTTAATTATTGTTGTCCTTACTAATTGCTCTCCTAACCTTGATTCTGTTATGTCAGATTATCTCTTTTCGGATCAAAGATGGAACATGTCTTAAAATATTATCTTATTAATAACGA